CAGAAACGAATAAGAGAAACAAAATGGACCGTTGTGGTGTTCAGTGTTGGCATCCGAATTGGTTGCGTAAATTCGCAACGACACGATGGTTTATGATAGTTTATGGGTTGTTGGGCACAATTCAGGCCACCAGTTATTTGTACTTTGTTATCACATTAACAACAATTGAAAAACGCTTCAAAATACCCAGCCAAACGACAGGTGAGACTTTGCCGCCGCCACCACCTTCTCAAAAATACTTGATCATAGCAAATAGTTTTCTTCCGCTCTTTATCATCCGAATGAAAATTGAAAGCGGTTCGATTTAATGAAACAAAGATCGAACCGATCCACTTTTTGCGATTATGATTTCATTGTCGTGAAACCAGCAATTAAAATCGATTTATTTATAGATTATTATAGATCAATATTCCACCTCGTATCTCTGAAGTGCACACTTGAATTGAGGCACGAGTTGATTAATCGTCCATCGGACGCTAGCCAACGCAAATATTTGCTTTCTACACCGTTTAATCATTCCGATATTGATTGAGTGTATTTCACGCATCAATGCAAAATCATTGGAATTTTTTTGATTCATCAACAATTTGTTTTTCTTCTTCCATCTCTTTCTCTCTTCCTCTCTGTCTCGTCTGAGTTCCTAGGAATTATTTTGAGTGGTAATGAAATATCGCAGATTTTATTATCACTGATCTTAACATATTTTGGTGGTCAACGAAATCGACCCAGATGGATTGCATGGGGTGTTGTTTTCAGTGCATTGTCGTGCTTTATTCTCGCCTGGCCGCACTTTATTTATGGCGCCGGAGAGGAGGCGTATGAACTAACCGAGGAGTATTTGGCTGAACATAAAGTGAGACAAACTTTTTCTTATCAAAAACGATGCATTGCACTTGCAATTCATTCTGATATATTTTCATGCACTGCAAATAGCGAATAAATTCATTCAATAAACATGTTTCACAGTAGTTTCATCTTTTCTTCTTCCATGCAATGTTCAGAATGCTACATCGCACATGCTTTCGAAACCGGTGGATTTTAAAAGTAGTAAATTATGCAGAACCACCATGGAAAAGATCTACAAATGTGATGAAAAGTTTTCGTATGTTCCGCTGGTGTTGATATTTATGTCACAATTCGTGCTCGGAATCGGTAACACATTATATTATTCGCTTGGCCAGTCCTATTTAGATGACAACACCAAGCAACGAAACACACCGTTAATGTTGGCCTATGCATTTTCGATGCGTATGATCGGGCCGATAGTTGGAATCGCTCTTGCTTATTTAATGATGAGTATTTACATTGATCCCACTTTGACGCCAGTCATTGCAAGAGATGATCCTCGATGGTTGGGTGCTTGGTGGCTTGGATGGATTCTACTTGGTGTACTGATGTTCATTTTTGCTGGATTGATCGGTTTGTTCCCGAAACACTTGCCGAAGAAGAAACAATCCATTGAACACGAAATCGATGACGAAAAATGCGATCAGAAAGTTGAGACAGTGGAAAAAAAATCGACCAAAGAGAGAAAGGATGGGGAATTGAAAGGTAAATTTACTTGAAAATTTACTTATAGGATTTAATAATTATTTTCAAAGATGGAGAAATGGATAGAAAAAAAAAAGATTTGGATTATTCCGAATCAATCTTTTCTTTCAGATTAGATTTCCGCTAGATGGTCAGGTACGGCTGAAGCTCGTTTTTGAGATGAATGGCGCATATAGAACGCTCCGCTGCCACGTAAATATTCCGTTTGTCGTTCGTTCACTGATCGTAGAATAGCTGTAGAAGGAGAAGCGGGCGCACACTGAGTGGTGTGCTTTTCCATGCATTCACATGGTGAGAACGCTCACTAGTTGTTTTGGTTCTTGATGATTTCTTTTCGCTCACCACTCTTGCTTCATTCGTTTGACACATGAACATCATTTAAACTCAACGGATTTTTCTTTGAATTCAAACACAACATTTAAACAGCTGACAATTTCTTTTATGTTATTTCCATGACCTTTCATACTTGTCCAAAGCGTTGAACAATACAGTGAACGAACGACGAACGAGCTGTGTGCAGCGATGGCGAAACTTTGTACAATGTACATGCGTTCACCGTGCGTAAATCATCTGAATAACGAGCGTCAGCCGTTTGGTTGGCTGGATTAGAGAAACAAAATGACCAAAATCCATAGAATTTTAGTTGATAGAAAAAGATATTTGAATAAAGCCATTTTGAATTACGTCGAATTCAACTTTCAGATTTCCCAAAGGCATTGATGCGACTGCTAACAAACAAGGTGTTAATTTTCAACAATATGTCATCTATATTCTATATCCTTGGCGCATCCGGTTTCATGATATTTATGGGCAGAGTGATGGAAGTTCAGTTCAATAAAACATCACACGGTGGCAGCATATTCACTGGTCCCATGACAATCATAGGAACGGCTGTCGGTCTCTTGACATCCGGTTATGCTATCACAAAGTATAAGCCACCGCCAAAGTATTTATTCTTTTGGAATGTGATGATTGGATTGAAATCAATGTGTGTCGCATTATTGTACACTCAACTGGGTTGTGAGAATGGTAATAATTCGCTGTTGGTTAACGGAACCATTATTTCGTGCAATTCGAATTGTGCATGTGATGGAGTCGCATACAGTCCAGTATGTGATCGCTTAACAGGTACAACATATTTTTCACCGTGTCATCGGGGCTGTAGAGCATTCGATGAAGAACAAAAATTTTACAAAGATTGCTCGTGCAATATTCAAGCATCGATAAATACTAAGAGATCCACCGCCGGATTTTTAGCCAGTCATATGTTTATGGAAAGCTCAACAAATCAAGCCACATTGAATGGTGAAGCAAAACCAACCGAAAAACGCATCACACTGGAAGATGTTTATGATGAAGAGCTAAAACCGGATAAACTACCGCATGACGACGATGTTGCCATTGACGGAAATCATCTTTATGGCGAGAGTGAAGAGTACGAAGACAGTGGTGAAACGGAGGATGTATTGAGCGGTGAAACGGTAGACGTGACGAAAATGGAGGCAAACAAGCGAGAACGTCGAGAGCATACAGATCATGAACATATTTTTCCCGGAGTATGCGCTGATGATTGCACATTTGCTTACATCACCTTTTCGATAATTTCAATGTGCTCTGCTTTGATCTCATCCACCGGTCGAATTGGGAATGTTTTGCTGAATTTCCGGTAAGCGAAATGAAACTCACATTGAAGAATGATTGTTTGACCAAATTAATTCTTTTGCTTTAAAATTATGATGAATGAAAAATTGAAAATTGCAATCAAATTAACAAATGAAATTCAATTCCGAATTGCAGAGCAGTTGAACCACGTGACAAAGCATTTGCCCAGGGTTTATCGCTGTTTTTAACCAGTTTGTTCGCGCTAATCCCCGGTCCAATCATTTTCGGTGTAGTCATTGACAGCACATGCTTGGTATGGGGCTACAAATGTGGACGACGCGGCAACTGTCAACTGTACGATCCAATCAAATTCCGATACTTTTTACACTCGAGTGCAGCAGTGTTCACTTTTCTTGGTGCATTTTTTGACCTTCTGGTGTGGTACCATGCTAAAGATTTGGATTTGTATGGTGACAAGACCACCGATGGCACACCAATCAAACCAGTGGAAAAAGAAAAAGACGCTTCGCCCGAAAGTGAGCCACTGAACAAATAATACCAAAACAATGTGTTAAGGAGTTTTTGTGTGTATATTTATTAGTTTTTAGCATGCTTTTGTTTACTACCATACAGTTGAACGGTTTTAGTATTTTAATCTAATCTGTTTGAGAATAAATAAACCCAAAATTGATCATGATTTAAGTTTTAATTACGTTCCTCTATGATCACATCAAAAAATGATCCCATCAAATTTCGATACTACATGCATTCAAGTTCGGCATTTTTCATTCTGATTGGCGTCGGATTTGTTTTGGTGCTATGGTACTATGCCAAAAACCTCGATTTATATGGTGAAGAAAAACCAAAACCCATCAAAAATGACAAAGACGATTCACCTGAAACTCAACCACTCAACTCTATGACGACCAAGATTTAACCACTGTGATTTTCATAGTTCTGATTCCAGTTTTGTTTTCAGTGACCTCGAAAGCCATATTGAAGCTTAATTTTTAAGAAAAAGAACTGTGCTGGAGCAAACTTTGCAAATATGGATGATAGGGATCAAAAACAAAATGAATCCAAAATCACTCAATGGTCGTTAGTTGGTTAACACTTAGCATAAATTTACGATTTGTGTGTATCTTCTTTATTAATAAATAGAAAAATGTGCTTACAATAATAAATTTGTGTATTTATCATTTTTGAACATTTTCACAGAATAAATAATGACAACAAAACTTGCATGAAAAACAAAAATGTCAAAAAGCTTCAAACACTGAGTTTCACTCTTTACCTTTCGATAAAAAACAAACAGAATCAAATCTATAATAATTTTATCCACCTAACAAGATGACACTTGAGCAACATTATGAAACTTGATACGATTGCAAAAAAATGCATCCAAGGTGAGCCATGTCGAAAATTTGTTTTTTTTTTCTATTTGATTCTGAAGCTTATGTATTGCACAGTGAAATTTAAAGTGAAAGATGCAGATTTTGACACCAACTCGAAGAACTGCTCTATCACACAAGACTTCTGTGGTGTTTGCGAGTGAAATCATCATATAAACAACAAGTAAGCATTTCGTCACTATTCAATTGAGCGTCCGAATTTAGAATGAATATGCACAATAAAAATCAATGTTTCATACAAAGCAAGCAGCGTGCTCGCCTGTTCAATCTTTATTTTCGCTATGACATCGGCCACAATCACTTATTATTGCTGTCAGTGACTATGTTTCGGGAGCACAAGTTGTTTGTGATTGCATGTTTCTTGCCTAATGCGTACATATGTGCAAAGCGTTTGTTTATCACTGTCGAAAGGTAATGCCTTCGAACGTAATTCTTCATGAACATTTTATTTTCATTTTTCTTCCAACTAGTCGAACACTCTACTTTCTATCTTACCCTTTCTCCCTCTCAAGAAGATATGATATAGTGGCTATATTTTCTCTCTCTGTCGATTTTATGATAACGATAGTAAAAGAAAATGAGCGACTTGAAATGTTTCATCACTTTGAATGTTTGAATGTACACAAACACAATTGAATTATAGATGCGATAGATTGTTTTTGTATTCGCCGTCGTCGTTGAAGTGGCTGGTTGCAATTATCAATTGTGGAGCAATAGACAAGCGTTCTGCTTATGGATCAGTCGTCCGCACGCTCAGTTATTCAATAGATTCGGCAACGGTTAGTCGTACGGTCAATTGAGCTAAGCTCAGTTGCGTTTAATTTAGAGTGATCAAAACCGTACAAACAATTTGCGCCTAACAAAGGAATATTCTATTTTTCTCGTACAATTTTACTAAGGCTCAAACCTGGAAATTAGAATAGTGCGAAATTAGCCTGAATAATATTAGAAAAATTTCGTCGTTCCTTGGGAAAAAACAACAACAACAACTGGCTAATCTTGTCGAAATCGGAGTGAATAAACAACGTGAATAAAGTGCATTAATCAACGGCTCTTTTTATGCAATTATGCGCGGAATTGGCATGTGACATTAGTTTTCAAGTGCTTTGTGTGTGAAATGAGCGTATCGCCGTTGTTGTGCTTGTCTATGCCGTTGTTGTGTATGTGTTGAAAAGTGCTCAAAACTCAAATCATTTCCTAATTAAGAAAAATCAATCCAGATTATGAAAGAGAGAAAGAAAGTGTATGTGTGAGCGGAGCACAAAAAACCAACAACATTCTGTGATTTGACATTTTGTTCAGTTGCAATAACGCACTGATTTTTGAGTATCTATCAAAGAACTCGTGATAGAGAGGGAGAGAGGCAAAAAAGAAACAGAAACGAATAAGAGAAACAAAATGGACCGTTGTGGTGTTCAGTGTTGGCATCCGAATTGGTTGCGTAAATTCGCAACGACACGATGGTTTATGATAGTTTATGGGTTGTTGGGCACAATTCAGGCCACCAGTTATTTGTACTTTGTTATCACATTAACAACAATTGAAAAACGCTTCAAAATACCCAGCCAAACGACAGGTGAGACTTTGCCGCCGCCACCACCTTCTCAAAAATACTTGATCATAGCAAATAGTTTTCTTCCGCTCTTTATCATCCGAATGAAAATTGAAAGCGGTTCGATTTAATGAAACAAAGATCGAACCGATCCACTTTTTGCGATTATGATTTCATTGTCGTGAAACCAGCAATTAAAATCGATTTATTTATAGATTATTATAGATCAATATTCCACCTCGTATCTCTGAAGTGCACACTTGAATTGAGGCACGAGTTGATTAATCGTCCATCGGACGCTAG